CTTGTCCCATATAAGACACCCCAAAACTTCAGTTCGACGCACAGCGCACGGACGTCGGAGTGACGGTTCCAAGTTTTACGAGGGACTTGATAACGGTTCGGTATAAGTTATAGCTGATCAAAAACAGGTAATGTACGTATCTAAGACTACAGAAGACACACACAAAATAAACACTGAGGTTTTGCAGCAGGGCCAAGGAAACCCCGATTATTTTGTTCTGTGGTCAGTAACACGTACATTAGCTATTTTCATACGTTGCACCACTTGGCTATCAAGCCGCTCGTGAAAGTTCGTCGGTTCGACATCAATCCACTGTACGTCGAACTGAAGTCTTGGGGTGTGTTATATGGGACGAGAAGTGTAAGACTATACCCTTATTTCCTGAAAGTGTATAGAATAAAAGTGAAGAAAAAAAAGAAAAAAAAAGAACATGGGGCTCGATGCTGCTCTCAGCTTCTCAAAACTTCAGTAGACAACGTTGAAGGGTGGAACAGGGTGATCTACAAGTAGACGGGTGTGTCAGATGAAACACGCGACAATGAATGTAAAGTGCAGCGAAGGCGTGGCATAGAAGATTACGTGGTAGGGTATACATAGGCCATTTAAGTCGCTGTAAACCCAGGGAGCATGCTCTTTTAGTAAGGCCGTCGCCATCGGGTAATCTGGCGGTGCACTGCAACCCATGTGACTGAGTCCTAAAATTTGACGACACAATCATCCTGGCTCGAAACAAGAAACACCGCACTGTTGTCGAAACAAGCGGCAACAGTGCGATAAGGCTACGTGTGTCAGTGCCCCCACGATAAGCTTGTTTGGCTCCGAGGTGGCGCACTTGAAATCGTTTGAACGGTAAACATTGGAGTGATAGGATGTAGATAGAAGACGCGCTTTCCCAAGGTCACCTGTCTTTTTAAACATCACGGTGTATAGACCTTTTCCGTGTACTCTCGTCCCCAGCCACCTAATAGGCATATCCGGTATGGGCGACGAAAAAATACTACAGCGTTTCAACCTTTGACTAGTAAAAAAAATAAGTGGGAGGCTAAACAAGAATGTGTGACGGTTGCGCTTATACCCTTAGTGTCTTCTACTTGCGTGGCGACGGCAAAACAATGTTTTCGCCCACACTGGAAGTGACGGCAATTCAAGATGGCGGCGTCCTTGAAGAAAGGGTCTATACACCTTTCCCGTGTTTACAAAATCACGGTCCAGCGCGCGATCTTCACAGCCCAGCACGTGGCTGTTCGTCGCTTCGGAAAGCGAGCAAAGCACGAGCCGCACAAACACTCACACGCTCTTTTTTGGAAAGGTCTATATGTGTATTTCTTTTTCGATTATTTAACTTTATTTGCAAGGAGCGCTTTGTGCTGTTCGTCGTTGTTTAAATAACTTGTCTGCCGTCTTTTTAGCGCTTTTATTCTATGCTACGCAACTGCCACATCTGACGAGAGTGCCGATCTTAATTCATTGTATAGGGAACTAGAGTCACTAAATAAAGCATATTTAGTGACTCTAGAGGCCACAGCTGTTTGCGTGACTTTCTGTGCGCGTGCTCACGTCTAGCGTTCACAGTTATTTTGCAACGTGCCCTGCAATGCAAAAGGTACTCAAATGCCACAGCATCGTATTAAACAGAAAGGTCTCTCGAAAAGTTTTCTTTGGTTCCTGGGAGGTGATTCAAGAAATGATCGCCAGGAGCGTGAATCGCCGGGTGTGCGGAGGACAGGGAGAATTATTGTTTCTCTATCTCGTCGCGTGATTCAATAATGCAGCTACGCATACTTGTCACCTTAATAGGGACTTTTCGTAGATCACACGCGAGAGCATGCAAGAGTTTTGCGTTGCTTGGGGGAGCCGTCAATTTGACGTTCTACGATATGCCCCTAATGAAACAGCTACGATGGTTTCCCATGTCTGTCGACAAAACAAACCCGAATACGCAGTTATCGTTTTTAAAACAAGTTTAAATTTGAGAACCAAGCTTACTTTGCTTACCCGCCAATTGTGTTCCCCAATGCTTACAAGAGAAAGCAAGTAAGCGGCAAAAGACTTGAGGAAACATTAGGCAGATAATCGTAGCCCCTATTGCGTACTGACTAGAACACATAATTGAAAAAAAAAAAATTAACGGCTGTATTCTTTCTTTTTTTAATTATTAAAATGATGTAGTTAGTCAGTTAGTTCACAACAGCTATATTTTCCAAGGGCTGTCAAAATTAGACACAGTAACATTCCTAGGTCGACCAATTAGAGCGTGTTGGCAGTGTTAGATGTATAAAATTAAAGCAACATAAAGGGGAACAGGACAGGACACATCACGTAGGTGAATTACTGAAAATGTTTGACTGAAATTTACAAATGGGTTTTCATTTTTTTCGCACAGAGAAGAACGTAATATTGTTGATCCTTTTCTGGCGCAAGGTATTCAGATATATAAAGTATACTCCGCCTAAACAAAGAAGAAAACAAAAAAGCGCGCAAAAAGTTTGCAGTCACTCGCAAATATGTTCGCAATTATCATTACGGCGTCATATAGGAAAGGTAAAAAAGGACATCAATACAGGCACAAATGTGAGCCCATTGGCGATCACTCTTTACTCATACAAGTATTAGCGGTTTACTGACGCACGTACGTGAATTGCGATTTTATCGCTTTGGCGGCAGCGTACACGTGCGCAAAAATAACAAGGTATCGCGGCGTGTAGTAAAAGTGTTTTATTTTGTTTTTTAACCCGCTCAAAACGCTTGGGAACAGAACAGGTGAGCTGCGGCCGTATTCGCTTCCCGCTTCGTTTTTTCTATACAGCTTGACCTAATGTTGCGGTCCGGCAGTGCATGCCTCGTCATCGACTTCATTCGCGCGAATTAAGACAGCCGCGGCATGCTTTGTGGGAACCTAAACTCGACAAACACAAAGTTGGAGCCGCAAGTTCGCGGAGCTTGCCAATTAATAGAGCGTCGGCGAAAAAAGCGCAAAGTCACCCTCGTGATAGGCGCTCCGTCAACTTCGGCCCCAACTTTGTGTTTGACGAGTTTAGGGGCCCAGGGCCTCTAAATTCGCCAAACACAAAGTTGGGTCTGAAGTTGACGGAGCGCACCGATTGGTCTATCGCGACAATAACTTCGCGTTTTTTTTTTTTTTTTTTTTTTTTTTTTTTTTTGCCAGCGTCTAACGAACTTTTGGCTTTAACTTTGCGTCTGACGAGTTTATGGCCCCAGCAGCCGGAAACTCCGACTTTCTAAGAGCACTTGCCCGAGCCACCGTGCCCGAGCTCAAGCAGCGTGTGCGACAGCGCAGCTGTGCGCGAGAAGATCATTTGAATGATATAGCATCCTCAACTTTCTCCGAATAGCTCTGACTTTCAACAGCGAGTGAAACCATAAAGCAAAACACCATGTATCTTGAGGCGGATGTCACAGGCGACGCTGTCTTGCATTTGCGGGACCCAGTTCGCTGTCGACAAATGTTCTTATGCCAGGATTAGTCTCCTCCCCACTGGACACCTGGCACACAAGCAACCTTTCTTTGCACAAATTCACTTCCCTAAAAAAAAAAAAAAAAAAAAAAAAAAAAAATATATATATATATATATATATATATATATATATATATTCACCGTTTTTTAACGAACAGGGAAAGCCACAATAGTATATTCGCTACGCGACCGCGGTCTTTGCAATGGACTCGTACTGCTATAGTCTATAGAGAGCGGGTTTGCACCAAAGTGCGGCGCCACTAGTACTGCTCCGGCGCGCCCTCTGGGCAGCCGAACAGGAGCCTCTAGCACGCGCTTCTTGCCTTCCGTCGTGCTTTGGCTGAGCGTACACACTCGAAGCTCACGAGACACCGAAGTTCTACCGAAGGTAGGATTAAGCTCGCGCCGGGAGGACGGCCTCCCTGCCTTTCGTGCAGCTATGATGAACCCACGTAACAGCTTAATCTGGCTGCGAATTTTTTTGTATCTTGCTTTTGTGTGATTGCTAATCTCAGGAACATTTTTTTTTTCTGTGGCCCTGCAGTCAAATGTATTTGGTACTGCAGTTACCTATAGAGGTCGCCACTATCGAGCAGATATGGTGGTCTAAAACAGGTCGTGTCGTGCAATGTGCCAGCTTAACGCACAGCGCTCGGGTTTCAGTAAGCATTGGGCTCAAAATGATTTGCCCCGATTTTGATACGTACTGGCGTAAGCGTGCTTCCAGAGGTTTGACCTTCTTGGGGGAAGCGATAGAAGGAATGCCTGCAGTCCTTCTACGGTGCCGATCAACGTTGGTGAACACACAATAACTGGTTCACGCGGTTGTGTAAGCTGCGTTCCAGAAACTTTGGGAACACGCTGATAACCGTGGCCACTGTTCCATCGCGCCGACCGCCGACAACAAGCATAATAGCGGAAGCGAACAGAGACGAGCAGAATTCGCGAAAAGACCCGTTCCGTCCAGTTCACTGTCTTCCTGCTATGTGCCACCTGTTTTGCTGGAGTCGCGAATACTCGGAGCACCTTGAGCGCCGGTTGAATCCGCCGTGCAAGCGCGCTCCTGGCGAATTCCAATGATAGATTTGGAGCGGGTACGGGGCGATGTTTGTCTTGGTATCTTTACGCTCGCGCGAACGCGAGCTAGCATTCGCTGCTCTAAACGCGCGACCATGGCGTGTTTTTGGATCGCTCCAACCAGCGCAATTCGCCATATGGAAACGTCACGGGCAGCAGCTGCCTCCCCCCCCCCCCCCCCCCCCCCCAACACACACACACAAATGTGATCCTTTGTAGGTTACCAACGCCAAATACTCATTCTGAGCAGTATTTTTAGTTACGAAAGAAACAAAATCGGTGGCAAAAACTTAAACTAAAACCGGAAAAAAAAAAAAAAAGAAGGAGTGGGTTACCACGCAACAATAACTGGGTATCTTAAAACAATAAATAAACGAAACAGAAGATATCGCGAGAAGCGAGAGCGGAGTCAGCGTCCGAGTAATAAAAGCACACGCCACGCCACGTGACATGAGGCGAGCGCGGAAGGGGGCGTGTGCCGCGCGCGACGCAGCTCGCCGCGGTTCCTTCCGACGCCGCGGTTTCTCCGCCCTTCCCCTCGGTTCCCGTGTCGTGGAACCGCGTTTCACGTCGGCCACTATCGGACCGTCTCTGGCGCGGAACGACAGCACTTGTGACGGCGGTGGCTCGATGCAAACGGGCGTTGTTTAGCGGAACCGTTTTCTCGGAGGCCGTTGGACCAGCTGCCGCGCGATTCGAGGCTGTTTGTAGCAGCAGTCGACGACGAGGGAAGCAACGGCAAGCTGCGAGTGAAGCACGTGGCCCAGCTGCTTGTTGAAGACGCCGGAGTTGGAGGGATTCCGCGCGGACGCGAGGCGGGTCAGAAGAAACAATGCGATCGCTTATTGATTTTTCGAGTGAGTACTGCATTTTTTTTTTTCTTTACGGAATACTGCGAGCCAGTATTATGGCCAGAAGCGGGAGTATATCTAATGTTTATACGAAACTGAAATACCGGAGGTTATACGATGCAACCCGCTGTATACTACGAGAGGTTATACGGCGCAACACAACAGTATCGAGTTTGCGACTCTGCTAACCCAATATGGATTTTTTTAATTTTTTTTTAAGGCTATTTAGATTAGTACTTCGAAAGCCGTAAGAGCTACACTAATCCGGTTTGTTGAGGTAAGTTATACAGACAGGAGGACATTGCATATGGGGATAATTGTCATCAACTAATGGCGGTTGTATATTTATACGGACCGAAGTTAGTCCGCCTCAATGGGCGCCTGATGTCTCAGCTGCATATGATAAGTTCAGCTGGTCCAGTATACAACCGCTGGCCCGGTGTCTGAACGCGCACCAGGCAGTAGTCCTACAAGACCGCACGCCGGTACGATCCTCCTCCAGGGTCACTAAACTCGTGGAGCACAAATATTCTTTGCGTTATGACGTAGCAGGGGGGGGCGAAAGAACACCCGCGAAGTTTTTATTTCTCAAAAACCTGCAGATCCGTTTACTTTGGTGTCCTTCAATGAAGGGGCGAAAAATCCCTACCACTCCCTAGGCGCCGAACAAGAGCAATACGAGAGAGAGAGCGCGGAGAAGACCGTGGTTCATACGTGTGACGTCACAAGAAAAATTATCAGCTGCGACCAACAGGTTCGAGGGTTTGTAGAAAGCACGGTGCAGGCTGGGCGTATTTGCATTCTGAAATCAACACCTCCGAAGTTGACAGTCTGATATCGTTCTTATTTCCGCCGATAACGCAGAATGTACCGAAAAACGTCCCTGCCGTTCCTTTCCTTTCTCTCTGCCTTTTGGATTAACACTGATATGGACGGACAGACACCCACCCACAATTGTTTTACGGGTCTGCGTGCGTGCGTGCGTGCGTGCGCGTGTGTGTCTCGTACTCGTTTTTATTTTCCTTCCCCAACGTTCTTTTCTCGCCAACCCCCGTCGCCCCCTCATCTCTCAAACACTACCGACGTCACTGCCCACGCCGCCTCTCGGTTTCCCCGGTAACGTTGTTGACAGTGGCGGAAGATGAGCTCTAGTGCCGCGTACACCGCGCATGGCTCCACAATATCACATAGTTCAATCTTCGCCTCGATTCCAAAGCGAAGATTTTGGCCTCAAATAACTCCTTCCCAAAAGTTGTGCAACGTCACTTCGTCGTCACCGATGACTTCCACAAACGACGATCCTGCGGCGAGAAAGTTCAGAGTATTCACAGCCCGTCTCTATACAGCATGAACTTCAACGCGGCGCAGGGATGTAGGGACACGCGGACGCGACGTCATCAGTGCAGCCGTTCAATCGATTCGCAAAACAAAAACAAAAACAAACAAAAAAAAAAAACATGGCCAATCTTTTTTGGAAAAGTTTGAACATTCGTCGAACTAGTCGAACCTCCAGGTTTTACGTTGAACTTCAAAGTCGACGGAAGTTTGCGGCACGCCTAGTTCTATACTAGTTCTATACTAAACAATGAATGAATCGGTGAGGGAAGGTTATAGGCTCTTTGCACACGCGCCGGGTTACATCATCCGCCGTTTGCTGAACTTCTTACTGAGATACCACGCCTCTGAAACGAGCGTTGACGAGCCTGCACAAAGGCCAATGCTGGGGAGAAGGACGCATTCGATTTAGGATAGCAACAACCTGGCTTCCTATGGTAATGAGGAAGTGAAGTAAACGCAAAAAAAAAAAAAAAACTAAATGTCGGTTATGGCGGCACCATAACCAACCTTTAGTTTACACTAAAGGCCATGCACACTTGACGACTAATACCCCTGTTACACGGGCACACTTAACCGCGGTTAACTCAACTTAACTGCTGTTTCGCGGCACTACAGATACCGCACTGTACTCTCTGACAGCTATATCAGAAGAAGTGAAGAGCGCGAGCGCACTGCTTCGATAGATGCTCAAGATGCTCGAGCGCACGTTCGCCCATAGCTTTGACTCCATAGCCGCAGAATGTTGTCCGCAAGTATTGTGCGCTATATGTGGCTTAGCGTAACTGCAGTTAAATGTGCCCGTGTAACAAGGGTATAAAAGCGTCTATGCTCTTTCACGCTCCATCAACTCAGAGGAATGCACGCGCACGCCGGCTCTGCGAACAACTCCGCAGCTTTTTTCTCTCTCTGTTTTCGTTTCCACGCTCGCGTCGATCTTCTCACACATACGCGTAAATGTCACCGCCGAGGGGAAAGATTTCAGTTCTCTTTGTGGGAATAGAGTCGAACGAAAGTCGAAAGAAAATACGCTTTCAGTTCGGGAAACGAATAGCCCTTTTTGTTCCGCGCTATTGGCTTCGCCTACGGGGCAACTGGCGGTTTTCATCGCGCGTTTACGAACCTACATTCGAGGCTTCGCCTTTATGTCTGCCAGGTGCTATGAAAATCTGACTCGCTAGAGAAAGCTATAGCGAGCGAACCTGTTGCGACAGCTTTCTATGCGCCGAGAGAGTGATGGAGAGGAGGAGAGGAGAGGGGACGTCAGGACGCCGAGATCTGATTGGTTGGATTAGGGGGTAGAGCTAAAGCTATAGCTGCCTTTGTCTCCATTCCACTCGTCGAACGCGTAAATGTCCGTTCACACTCTTGCAACCAAGGCCCGCTAAGAGGTCGCAAGAGGCTTAAAAACTGGACTGGTCTCTCTCGGTCGTACTCGGTTGCAAGCGTGTGAATGGGTCTTTAGAACGCAGAACGCCGGCGGTTGGCTTTCGCATTCCAACGCGTTCGACGAGTGCAGTGAAGGCAAAGGCTCCTCTAACTTTAGGTCTATAGACCTAAAGCTATAGGTCTATGGGCCGGAATTCCAACCAGTGCTCAGCGTTCTGTCCTCCCCGCGCTCTTTTTTCCTCCTTTCCCTCGGTTTCTCGGCGCCTTTTAGCCGCTAGGTGCCGTTGATTTCGCAGAAGTCGCCAGTCTAGCGATGCCAGCGATCAGGGCTGCAGTCGCTGCGTATATTTATATATAAGCGTAAGCCTTGGTAACCGATGCGGAATGCTTGTTTGCATTATAGGCGCAAATAAACGATTGCAATAATTCATCCAATAACCTTTTTTACCACATTAAGGAGCATATGCGATGACACAAAGCCGACTTCTTGTTGAAGTTGCGTAATCTTCCTTCAATTCCCACCGCTACCTTTGGATCTGGACGAGCATCGTATACCGGCGTGCGATCGTCTATCACTCCTGCGTGATATACATTGAAAACCCCAGGTTAGCAGACGCGTACTGCACCGGCTCCATTTCTCATCTACAACGGTGAGGCTGAGTACCTTCGCTATACCTAAACCACCGTGGCCTAAACGCGCACATATAATTGCTATCTGTTTGCTTAGATTGCGTGAAGTTAGTCAATTCCAATCGGCTGGCGCCCCGACTGGTGTCCCACGCGTGTAAGCACGTGCAGCGTGCGCGTGAACAATACAGCGTTGACAAGCTTGGAAATGCACGCGTGCTTTCCCGCTCGAGCAGACAGAGGGCGGCGGCAGTTGCCGCGCCTGCAATAGACCGATCTCACCAGCTAGTTTGACTACGCCGCCGCTGCCGCAATGCATTGAGGGAACTTCAGAGTCTTTCTGCACGTGCCACAACCTCGCTGGAGATCCGCGCGTGAGGAGCACGAGACATCACGAACTCTCTCGTGCACTCCCGTCTGCCTCCTGTGAACTAAAGTTATGACGGCGTCACGCATGCGCTAAACGCTTGGTGAGATCGGTCTATTGTCTGTAGATGAGAAAGTTACCCAGTCCACTGCCGCAGCCTGCGGCCTTTAACGCGCACCACGCAGCAGTGATAGACGATTGCACGCCGGTACGATGCGCGTTCAGATCGATACGGGCAGGGGCGCGGATTGATCCCAGTATCCTTAAAGCCCCTCTATCCTGGGAAAAGTGGCGCCATTCATTGTTGTGGAAATGCTCGAGACACTTGTCGCGGGCCACTTCTGGGACGAACATGGCGTCTGAAATCCAGCTCAGTGCCGCCATGATCTTCCCAGGGCTGCACGTTGCACGTGCCTCGTGCATCGACGCACCCTGAGTTCTGCAGCGCGAGCTTTTGCTCCAAGTGGTCCGAGCTGCGCTGTCGCGTGCTTTTTGTGGAAGCTTGTCTTTGATGGCATATTGTTTGTTGGGCTGTGGTCAATAGAAATATTGGCCAGTTCTGGATGGTCAACACGTCGTAGTAAACTCACAGGAATAGCAATACACGGACACTATTTCCTCTTGTTAAGGGGGCGTTCTTGGGTCTGCACCACTTCCTCCAAAATAGTTGACCCACGAAAATAGTAAGTAGCGTGGGGATTCCGGACGTTACAAATATTTTTCTTTCTAAACGCGTTGTGCATTCTATTTTGGAAAAAAAAAGAAAAAAAAAAAGACCGTCGTGTGGCAGCGCTCCGTCATGTCTGCTCCAAGGCGCGCAGAAAGAGGGGCATTCACGATCTTCGATTAGATTTTTAAAAGGCAAGTCGGCCGCCCATGAGTGTGATGTCGGGTATTCTTAGGGCGCTTAGAGACCGTAGATTGAGTTATCATCATGAATAGACGGTCTGAAAATTCTCGTGAGTGGCCTCACTCGGTCACAGATCCCGCCTGAACGTACGCGCGACACAGTGACTTTCCCAAAACAGCTTAGTGGTCAGAATCGGCCAAGGTTTCTTTTCCGGTCCTTGGGATGCCGAGAAAACGAGTGGGAACAAGTTCCCCTGGTTCGACAAGGCGGAACAGACAGCGACTTGGGAACTGTGATCCGAGCAGCGAGTTCGAAGGCCCTGCGACTTGAAAACAAGCGAGGAGGTTGTCTCCGGCGGCAGCGGAGGGCATGTTCCTCTCAAAAGGCTATCGCTTACGGCCGCGACCTGAGGGGCCCCCTCCTGACAGCTGAACATAA